CACACTGCTGTAAATGGACCATCAGGTTTCAAGTCAAAACACCGAAACCTTTTCTTCAAAAGAAGTTAATATGCAGTCTATTAGCGAGATATAATCTTGCAATTTTCAGAAAATGCCACTTTGGGAATTTTCCGCAAATCCATTTTAAAGATATCTCAGAAATTTACAGGTCTAAAATCAAACATAAATTTCGTTTATAGACTTTAATATGTTTCTTCTGTTTTTTTACAATATTTTTTAAAATGTTAATCGCAGGGTTCTCAAATTTTGTAACTTTTCAAGAACGGTCAAAAAACATATTGTAGTAAAAAATTAAAGTCCAAAGTCAACTGCGTGACTGACTAGTTACGGCCAGAAAAAGTCTTTTGATATGATTTTTAAGGAAATCGCTTCAAAAACCCTTTTTTTAGCAAAAAAACTTTTTTTGCTAAAACGTGTCTTAAGACTGTTAAGGACAATATATTTTTTATAGTTATAGTATTTATTTTCAAACACAAAATACAAATGATAATGTATGATGGTTCAGCTTAAAATAAAACAGGATAGAAATTTTGTCATGAGCCAATTGAAAATATAATGTTTAACAATTTTGTTCTGATCGGTATTTGTTGAAACAGGCTTTTCATATTGAAATCTCAACTAAATATACATCCTTTGTGGATTTACAAGTAAATACTTTAATAAAAACATTTTCAGGAATGCACTCATTTAACTTATAAATACGTATTGATTCAGCAAACACAGCAATGTACTCTTGTTGACCGAAGTAGACTTTGACATCCACCATTAGCAAGGAGTTTGAACCCATTTCTGTTGCCTGTAGTAGACTTTGACATCCACGATTATGAAAGGGTGTAAATCCATTCTTGATGACTGTAGTAGACTTATAGACATCCACCATTAGCAAAGGGTGTGAACCCATACTCGTCGACTGTAGTAGACTTTGACATTTACCATTCGCAAAGGGTGTGAACCCATTCTTGTTGACTGTAGAAGACTTAGACATCCACCATTAGCAAAGGGTGTGAACCCATTCTTGTTGACTCTAGTAGATTTTGGCACATCTACCATTAGCAAAGGGTGTGAACCCATACTCGTTGACTGTAGTAGACTTTGACATCCACCATTAGCAAAGGGTGTGAACCCATTCTTGTTGACTGTAGTAGACTTTGACATCCACCATTAGCAAAGGGTGTGAACCCATTCTTGTTGACTGTAGTAGACTTTGACATCTACCATTAGCAAAGGGTGTGAACCCATACTCGTCGACTGTAGTAGACTTTCACATCCACCATTAGCAAAGGGGTTGAAACCATTCTTGTTGACAGTATAAAGGTTATCTAAGGGTCCCTGCCATTAACAGTTAAAAAAAATATCGCAAAAAAACAGAATCAGCTTAATGAAGTCTTGAAACTAAAGATACATATTTGTAAATGCACTTGATTTCTACAATATCTTAAAAATAGATTTACTCGAAATTGCCTTAATGGCATTTCCTGAAAATTGAGATTATAATTCACAGACTGCACATTAATATATTCCAAAGAAAAAGTTTAGGTGTTTTAAAGTGAAACCTGATGATGGTCAATTTTCAGCAGTGTGAACTATTAACTTGAGTCTAAAAGTCAACTTCCTATACCAGAGTTTTCTAGTTATCACTGTATTTTATTTATTCAATTATTTAAAAATATCTATGGCCTGTTTCATTTTGCAAATCTTAAACTAGTCTTTTTTTAGCTTTTTTTTTACTTTTGTGTATTATATTCTATTGATTCGCCTTAATATAAATAAAAAATGTGTTTTCAGATATTATTGTACATTTAAAATGCTGTGTTGATGACAATTCATTTTCAATGATATGAAATTAAACAATGAAAAAGATTGAAATTAAGCAATGAAAAAGATTGAAACTAAGCAATGTAAAAGATTGAAATTAAGCAATGAAAAAGATTGTAACATTTCACGGATTTAAGGTAAAAAGTTAGTTTTTCAGACAGAAAAATCGAAAATGTTCCAACACGGGGGGCTCTGCCCCCCTGCAACCCCCCGCCCNACACCCAGTTAAGAGCCTGGTGAGTGAATCCCTTATTTTCGAAATTGGTGTGAATGGTATTATGAGGAATGCAGACAGAATAAATTCCGTACGTCGTCCTGTGTGGGAAACCCTGCATAAATATATCTGCCCGGCCCTCTTTTCTTTGAATTCTTCTTTATCTTTAAAACTAAATATAGTTCATTGTATGACACACAACACAAAGAAGGTTTATACTGGGTGAGGCATAGAACATGCTTTACAGATTTAAGGTTCATGGGTTTCCAACGGAATTCTTGGTTACGGTTTACATACCTAAACTGGAAATTTCCGGAATCCTGTTCCGTAATTGCGGAAATTTTTGGAATATTGTCCCGGAAAAATCGTCCAGGAGTTTTCCAGGACATGGTTCCGAAAAAACGTTAGAAACAAAGATTGATTGATATGATAGATAGGACACTAGATGTAGTCTTTTCAAGAATT